CACACACACACATCAGCACCACCACCACACAGACACACACACGCACACACACACCAGCACTACCACCACCATCACACGCACACACACCATGGCACCATCACCACCACCACACACACACACATCAGCACTATCACTACCATCAACACACACACACAGGCACCACTACCACCATCACTCACACACACCATGGCACCACCAACACACACACACACCCCATGGCACCATCACCACCACCACACACACTCCCCAGGTGCCACCACCACCACCAAACACACACCCTGGCACCATCACCACGATCACACACACACCCCCTGGCATCACGCCCCCCACCACACAGACACACACACCCCCAGGAGGCCTGCTCCATTCGCCACCCAACACACTCAGTACTCGGGAGACCTGCTCAATGACCACGGCATTCCTCAGCGAGCTCTTCTCCTGCAAGTGTTTCACGAACTGCTTCATGGAGGACTGAAGGTCCACGAAGGTGGAGACCTGCAGGCAGGCAGAGGAGGGAGGATGAAAGCCAGGATGGCAAAGGACCCAGGGGCTGCACTCAGCACATGCTGGTAAGATCTAAAGGCAAGGAGCCGATACTGCACCCCAGCATCCACTGCAGCACCAGTCACAGAAGAAATGGGGCAAACAGCTGCACGTCCAGGAGCAGACAAAGTGAAGCAAAACAGGACCCAAACACGCAATGGAACATTGTTACTGTTGGGCTCCGTCAAGTCAGCTCTGACGACAGTGACCCCAACATGCAACCCAACCAATCCCTGCCTGATCCGGTGCCACCCTCCGCCTCTGCTGGGCTCAAGCCCACTGGGGCAGCCAGAGTTGGTCCATCTCACTGAGGGTCCTCCCCGCTTTCTCCGACCCTCTACCCAGCGGGATGTCCCTCACCAGGGGCGGGCCCCCCAACAACATTCCCAGAGGATGTGCCAAGTCTCGGCACCCTTGCTTCTGAGGAGCACTCCGGCTGTACGACTCCAAAAAAAAGACTTGTTTGTTCTTTCAGCGGGCAACAGGTTATTCCTTACGCTTTGCTATCAGGATAACTCACAGGCATCAATTCTTCAGTCTTCATTATTCTCTGCCTGCCTTTTAAACGTATGGGAGGCAAGACCTCAAGCGAGCAGGGCTACACTTCAGCACTTTAAAGAACCCACCCAATGCAACACGTCTTTTCATGTCACAGCTGCTGCTTCCAAGAGAGGCAGCCCAGGCGCCACAGTCCACAGGGAGTTGCTAATCCAGAGGTGGACGACAGAGATTCAAACCCACCAGCAGCTGGCCTGCAGGAGAAAAATGGGCAGACTCCTCCCATATAAGTTCCAGCCTCGAAAAATCCCCTGGAGGGTCAGCCATCAGTCAGCTCAGAATCAACAGCAATGAGACTGAGCGAGCTTTACGGGTGCTGGTTGCAGAGTTAAGGAAAATGAAGTCTTTGACGTCTTCAATCTTTTCTTTATTAATCATGATGTTTAGCTGTTCCAGGTGTGAGGGATTTTGCTTTAGAGAAAGCAGTATGTTCAGGTGTAGTCCATACTGAAGATTATAGTCGTCCCCCCCTCCATTTTTTTACTGTGACTGCAATGAAAGTTTACAAGAAAAGTTGGATTTTCACTCATTCGTGGTTGCACATTTTTCCTTCCTACACCCCCCAGTTCACTTTTTAAAAATTATTCATTATTGCATAATTTCCTCCCTCCATACCTCCCACCCCAGTCCACCTTGCTATAATATGCCCCTCTTACTCTAGACTGTGCTCATACAAATAATGTCCAATCATATATTCCTTTTAAATCGTTCTTTCCTTCATCTGTTCCAATGCAGTGTTCATTAGTGGTGAGCCCCTCTTTTCTTAGTTTCTCCCCAACCCCCATGTCAGTCCTGTTTTTTAACAGTGGTATTCTAAACTTCATCAATAAGAGATTCAAGTTCTTGATCTTCAGCAACAAGGTTGTGTCATGCTCAGACCACAAACACTCCATGGACACACACCCATATTAAAGACACACTCATCCGTTCACACACCCATCCTGAGGACACATCCCTCTCATGGACACACCTACTGGCACATCCATCTCACAGACACGCCCACCCCGCAGGACACACCCACGCCAGGAGCAAAACCATCCATCCACAGACACCCAAGCAGGGTCACACCCACACCATAGCAGGCACCGCCCCACTGGGGGCCTTACGTGTCTTTTGAAGGACCTCCGCACGTGTCCCTGCGCAGTTTTCTGGACCACTGCGTAACGCCTGATGCAGTAGATGTTCTGGGGCTGCATCACGTTGGCGACCACTTCCACCAGCTTGTTGTGAGGGATGCTGTCATAAGCCCCCGTCACGTCCACCTGCAAGAAGGGGATGGCCACTGAGCTCTCAGCCCCTTCCAACATCTCGCATGTCTGTGCTCACGTCCCTGCCGGAGGGGCCAGCCCTCCCAGGACGGATGAACAAGGCTGAGCTGCCCTGGGGTGGCGGGGGTGCTGCTCTGTACACTTGTGTACACATAAACACACTGGCTCGCCCTGCTCTAGAACCAATCAGCACACAGATGGGGTGCCGCAGCCCCACCTCCGCACACTCGCCCCACCTCCGCGCAGCAGCCGTGGCCATAGCACACATGCATGAGGCCATAGCCATCCCGAGACCATGGATGGGGCTGGGACCCCGAGGCAGGCCCTGCACCCACCCCCCACTCCTGAGGGAACCCAGGGATGAAGAACCCCACAGGCAAACTCTGCCCTTAGCTTCTGTTGAATAACCCACGGCTCAATGACACCACAGGCCCCGCCCAGTCCCACACAGGCCGCCACCATCAGACTGTTGTGATGCAGGGGGTTTGTGCTGGCTGATTTTTCAGCCACAGACCACCAGGCCTTTCTTCCTTATGTTAATCTGAACGCTCAGCTGAAGCATGGTCGGCAACACACAAGCCTCCGCTGGCAGCTGGGTGGGGGATGTGCAGGAGGGGTGAGAGCTGGGACTCGAACCCAGGTCTCCATAGGAAAGGGGTGACTCCCTGAGCCACCATTGTCCTCCTGCAGTCAGGAACCCCTGCTGTGTATGGTCAGCTGGGGGATGGAGACTGCTCAGGGCGCCTCCTCAGGGACAGCTGAGCATGCAAAGGCTGGGTCACCCTGAGGGAAGTGTGTGGGGGACTCTGGCCACACTCCGCAGGCAGCTGCCCCACGGAGGCCCCTGGCTGGCCAGGCTGAGTGACCAGGGTGACACTGGTCATCACCAGACATCAGGTCCCCGAGGACTCACCTTAACAAAGTACAGCTTGGGCCGGGGCTGCTTGGCCCGCACCCGCCCAGAGAACGCCCGCCAGGCCTTGTACACATCGTCAATGCCCAGCACCGAGGCCCCCAGCAGCTCTGGCTTCAGCGCCCGCTCGTAGTTAAGCACGCTGAACAGGTTCTTTATCTGCGAGGCGAAGTGCTGGGCCTGGAGCAGCAAGGGCTGAGGGTGAGAACAGAGCCCTCGGAGCCCAGGAGAGAGGACTTGGTCACACGCTCCATGGACCTCCGGGTGGAATGAAGTCCACGGCCCCAAGGCCCTTTCTCCATCCTCCCCACTCGCCCAGCTGACCTGGGAGTTTTCCAGAAGAGCTCAGAACAGCCTCGGAGCTGAGGACCAGCCGTCTAGAACCACCCTGGGCCCATGTGCCCTGAGCTAACATGTTTGGAAATGCACCACCAGGTGCCCTTCTCCTTCACCAGCCCAGGTCCACCAGGGTGCCCGAGGAGGCCACACCTGGTGACCGTCACCTTCACACCAGGGCTGAGTGCAGCCTGCCAGCCCAGCTCACCCTCCTAGTCCCTGCGTCACCACCATTGCCCTTAGATACCACGCGGCACGGAGGATGGCCGGAGCTGCCTGTGCGGTGGTGAGGACCCTCAAGCATGGTGACAGGTGACAGCCAGCTTGACATCACCTGGGTTAACTCTGCCCATCAGAGCCTGGGGCTCCAGGGAGGGGGAAGCATGTGACAGCAGGGATCTAAGCCCCCAGTGAGTGTGCTGTGTGTCAGCAGGGTCACAGGGTAAGAGGTTACAGGACAGGCTGCTGTGGTTCTCACGCTGTGGCCTTCTCTGGACCTGGAGTTCCACCTATACCTCTCTGAGCCTCCTGGAGCTTTGCAGACCTACAGGTGCTAGGGAGGGGGCTGCTTGCCACCCCCCACCCCCTCCTGTACCCCACTCTGTACCACGCCAACCTCGGGTCAGACCACCACCTTTAAAAGGACGACAAAGTGCAGCGCAGTCACCTTCTTCTCCCTGCAGAAGGTTCTGGCCCCCACAACGTAGTCCATGTTGACAATGGGCCGTAGGCCCTGGAGTTTGGGGACGAAGCGGAGCTTGGAGGTGAGCAGAGAGGGCCTGGCCTGCAGCCGGAGCTGCCCCTCCGCCGCTGACACTTCCCGCAGATGCACTTTGCTGACGTGCTGTCTGAAACAGAGCCCAGAGCACGAGGTCAGACGAGCGATGGACTCGCGTGAAGACACACTCAACACCAGGTGACATGCTCACAGGGCCAGTGCAGGCCTGGGAGCTCAGCCCACAGGTCACCCAATACCCAGGGCAAAGCTGGTCACCCTGACAAGGCCACACTGATGCCACCCACCAGACACTGCAAGAGCCAAACCCACATAAAGCCCGGGATACGATGGCTACTCATGGAGACCCTGATGCAGGGATGAAAGACCATCACACACTCAGAGAGATCCCACCACACTCAGGGAGACTCCACTAAAATCCGGGAGACACCACCACACTTGGGGAGACCACATCACACTCGGGGAGACCACACCATACTTGGGGAGACCCCAGTGCAAGGAAAAAAGACCATTACACACTCAGAGAGATCCCACCACACTCAGGGAGACTCCACTAAAATCAGGGAGACCACACCACACTCAGGGAGACCACACCACACTTGGGGAGACCACATCACACTCGGGGAGACCACACCACCCTCAGGGAGACCACACCACCCTTGAGGAGACCAGGCCACACTCGGGGAGACCCACCATACTCGAGGAGAACCCACCACACTCAAAGAGACCCCACCAAACTCGGGGAGACCACACCATACTTGGGGAGACCCCAATGCAAGGATGAAAGACCATCACACACTCAGAGAGAACACACCACACTCAGGGAGACCCCAATCCAGGGATGAAAGACTATCACACACTCAGGGAGACCCCACCACCCTCAGGGAGACCCCACCACAGGGATGACAGGACATCCACAGACACCTCAAGACATTTCCTTCAATAGGCCATAAACATTTAAGATTTGATCATCTATGATATAAATAAACTCCAAAACACATTTGCCTCAAGTCTACTCTAACGACCCCAGGGTTACAGAGCAGAAGAGCTCTACCGGATTTTCCTGCCAAGATCTCACAGGACCCAATCACCAGGCTTCTCCTGCTCGGCACCTCTGGGTAGGTTTGAACAGTCAACCTTCAGGCTAGTTTTTTTTTGCTGAGTATCATCAAGTAAGAGCCAACTCATAGCAGACCCTCCGGCAGATTTTCAAAGGCAACAAATCACATGGAAGGAGATAGACGGCCCTTCTCCCACAGAGTGGCTGGTGGGTTGGAACTGGTGGCTTCGAACTGTGTACCTTTGGGTTGGCAGCACATCTTACCACTAAGCCACCAGAGCTCCCTTTAGGCTCGTCATCAAGCACCATCTGTTGGCACCACCCTAGGAGCAGCCATTCCAACACAAGTTCTCTGTGTCACTTAGAAGAGAACTTGACTGACACAGTGACGAGGCACACAAAACAGGGACAGAAAATGAGAAGTGTGTGGTTGATCCTTTCAACAAAAGTGACTCTGATTCCAGAGCCGGCTGGGTGGAAGCCCGGGGGCCAACTGAAGTGCACCTCCGATTGTACAGGCAAGAAAATGGGTCCCGGCCATGCTCACACACGATGTCTGCCACAACCCCGACCCTCAGGTCATAAACACCTGATTCCAATGCTTTGCAGCTTTCTCCAGACGCTCTTCCGGAAAAACAAAAGCCTGTTCTTCTGATGCATGGTCTCGGTGACGTAGAAGAAAGCTCTGAGCAGCCCCACCACATAGGTGTCCATCAGCCAGAATAGGAACTTGGCCAAGATCTCTTCCCTGAGCCGATGCTCTGAGGCGGGAACGGTATAATCTCCTGAGGAGAGAAAGTGCTGGAACTGATCCCACCTAAGGGCCAGACCCCTGAGAGCCGCCTGTCCATCCTGCAGTCGGTGGCCGCTTGACACGTTCCAACCCCAGCTGTCTGTGTAACCCACACACCCACTTTGCACACACTCTTTCAGAAAGCCACGCATGACTCCAGCAACGACACACTGCCTCTAAGATAAAATAGTGCTGCTGTTTATTTACTGCGTATCATAGTCTGATAACCACGAACACACAAGGGAGCTTTGGTCGTAAAGTCCTAGTGTGTTGCGGTTCAAAGCCACCAGGTCCTCTGAGGGAGAACGACGGGCAGGCGTTCCCCTCCTGTTAAGATGTGTTATGACCCATCACAACCTTCTGAACAACAGATCCCTGTCCTGCCCTGTGCCACCGTCATCATCTCTGACACAACTCAGCCCACTGCTTCAGTCAATCTATCCATCCACCTCCTTGGGGTCTTCCTCTCCTTCACTGACCCTCCACCTTTCCAAGCATGATGTCCTTCTCCAAGGAATAACCTCTCCTAGCTGCATGTCCAAAGAACAAGAGACAAAGCTTCGCCATCTTTGCCTGTAGCTGTGCCTTCTCCAAGACATACTTGTTTGCTCTTTGGCAATCCGTGGGATATTCAGAACATGAGATATTCAGTTCGTGGGATATTTAGTACTCTTCTCCACCAACAGCACAACTCAAAGGCAGTCATCCTTCTGTTATCCCTATCCAGCTCGCAGACGTAGCAAGTAATGGAGAAGACCATGGCCTCAATCAGACACACTTTAGTCTTCAGACTAACATCTCTGCTCTTCAGTATCCCAAACAAAAGGTCATGGATTTTCTAACAGGCTGAAAGAAATATGCTAAGACTCCATGTCTTCAAAGGTGGCAAAATCCCAGACCTGGAAATCTGAGAGTTCCAGCTCTTGAAGATTTCACTGTATTTTCTTAATTTTATCATGTTATTTTTGGATTTTTTTTTCAATGTGGCTACTAGACATTTTATACAATTAACCCCCCTTGGTACCAGCAGTCAGGAAATCAGGAGATGTATTTGCACTGGGAAAATCTACAGTTAGGGACCTAATATTAAGGAGTAATGATGTCAGTTTGAGGACTAAGGTGCATCTGCCTCAGGCCATAGTCTCTCCAATCACTTGCTATGCATCTGACAGCTGGACAATGAATAAAGATGACAGAGAACTGCTATCTTTAAGTCGTGGTGTTGGAAAAATGTACTAAAAATCCCATGTATGGTCAAAAGAACAAACAGGTATGTCTTGGAGAGGGTGCAGCCAGAGTGCTCTTTGGAGGCAAGAATGACGAGGCTTCACCTCACAGACTTTGGACATATTGCTAGGAGGGGCTGTTCCTTGGAGAACATGATGTTGGGAAGGGTGGAGGGTCGGCGAAGGAGAGGAAGGCCCTCGAACAGGTTTATTGACCCAGTGACTGCCGCGATGGGGTCTAATGTGTCAGGAAGTGTGAGGATGGAGCAAGACATGACAGAGCTCAGATCGGTTGTTCATGGGTTCGCTGTGGGTCATGCTCGATTCTATGGCATCTAACAACAAGAGAAGTTTTGGAACTATGATGTTAATAGATGCTGCTGTGTGGAATACAATTCATGGCAAGCCTACAAGAAACAGTTCAAAACTTTGCCCCATCCCGTGCCATCGTCACAATCTCCACCGTGCACAAGCCTGTCACTGCACCACGTCTGTCACAGTCAAGGCTGGGAATAGCGAGAACAGCACGTGAAAAGTTTCAACAAGCAGATGCTGTGCTGGAGGTGCTCACCCTTCCATGTTGTTGTTGGTATGTGCCATCAAGTCGCCAACGACTCATAGCGACCCTAAGTACAACAGCTCTGAAGCCTGCCCTGTCCTGAGCCAGTCTCACTGACTCCGACATACCTACCTCCATGGCCCTAGCTACTGTGTCAATCCATCTCTTCCAAGAGCTTCCTCTCCTGTGCTGTCCCTCCACCCTTCCTAGCATGATGTCCCTCTCCAAGGATCAGTCTCTCCTAGCCATGTGCCCCAAGTATGTGAGACAGAGCTTCAAAATCCTAGCCTCTAAAGAGAAACTTGATTTCACTTTATTCAAGACAGACCTACTTATTTTCTTGGCAGTTTGTGGTATGTTCAAGACTCTTCTCCAGCACCGCAACTCAAAAGGCATCAATTCTTCTTCTGTCATCCTTTGTCATTATCCAGCTCTCTGATGCATAGCAAATAACTGCAAAGACCATGGACTGGATCAGGCGCTCCTTAGTCTCTAGACTGACATTGTTCCTTCTCTGCAAAGGTCCCTGACAGATTTACCTAATGCAATTTGCCCTTTGATTCCCTGACTGCTGGTGCCAAGAGGGCTGATTGAGGAGCCGAGCAAGCTGTAACTGCTAACAACCTCAATCTCTTCTCCATCCAGCTAGTGCTGCCAATTGTCCCTGTGGTGAGAATCTTTTTCTTGACGCTGTCAACAAATTTATTAGAGATCGCTCTGTATTTGAGCCCGAAAAGGTGATCTGACAGAATAAAGAAATTATCCGTTATCATTACCATCATCACACACAAGTAAAATTTCGCTGAAGGCAATTTAAAAGGGGTTGCTGCAGTATCTAGACTGAGAACTGTCAGAAACTTAAAACTGGATTCAGACGAGATCGTGAAATGAGAAATAGCACCGCTGACTTATGGTGGACCTTGGCTGAAGGCAGAGAATGCCAGAAGGATGCTGGCCTATGTTTTACTGACAATGCAAAGGCATTTCGCCATGAGGATCACAATAAATTAAGGAAACACTGAGAAGAATGGAATCTCAGAACTTAATGGTGCTCAGGTGAAACCTTAGACCTAGCCCAAGAAAGTCATTCAAATAAGGGGACACTGCTGGGTTTTAAACTGAAAAAGGTGTGCGACAAGGCTGTGTCCTTTCTCCTACCCAGTCCATCTGTGGCTCAGAAAATCCTCCTAGAAACTGGACTATATGAAGAACAAAATGACAGGATCAGGGACTCAGCAACAACTTTCAATAGGGAGATGACACAACTTTGATTGTCAGAGGACCTGCTGATGAAAATGAAAGGCTTCAGTAGGGACTATAACTCAGCATAAAGGAAAAAAAATCCTCACCACTGTATCAGTAAGTAGCACTCTTATATACTGAAAAAAGACTGCAGTTGTCAAGAATCTGGGTTTACAAGGAGTCCATAATCACCAACCACTGAAGCAGCCGTTGAGACATCAAATGGCCTGTCACGCTGGGCAAATCTGAAGCACTTACTGCAGTAGGGAAGCCTCTTCAAAGTGCCAAAGAGCAAGGAAGTGTGTCTTTGAGGCCTAAAGCGCACCTGACCCAAGTCACAGTACTTTCAACCGGCTCATATGCATGTAAAGGCTGGACAGATAACAAAAAATTGATGATCTGGAATTACGGTACTGGAGAAGAATATATCACGTATTGTCAGAAGAGGACAACCAGAATTCTCCATAGAATCAAGGATGCCAAGACTGTTCCACATCCTTTGGACATGTTCTCAGGAGGAACCAATTCCCAGAGATGAGCATCAGGCTTGGAAAGGTAGAGGACCAGTGAAAAAGAAGACCCTCCGTGAAATGGACCAGCTCGGCGGCTGTAGCGATGTGCGTGCGGCTGGTGCAGAACTGTGCAGTGTTTCCCTGCGAAGGTAGAGACCACAGCTGCAAGACTGTACCACCAAGTGGCCATGAACGTCCTCACCTGAGGTCACCTCCTTGCTCCTCCTCATCTACAGGCGCCTGCTCACCTCTCCTCACCCAAGTACATCTCTCCTCACCTGGGTGCACTTGTTTACCTGTCCTCATACCTAGGGGCACCTACTCACCTGTCCTCACACCTGAGGGCACCTGCTCACCTGTGCTCCTGTCCTCATACCTAGGGGCACCTACTCACCTGTCCTCACACCTGAGGGCACCTGCTCACCTGTGCTCCTGTCCTCATACCTAGGGGCACCTACTCACCTGTCCTCACACCTGAGGGCACCTGCTCACCTGTGCTCCTGTCCTCATACCTAGGGGTACCTGTTCACCTGATCTCACCTATTCACCTGTCCTCACATGCTCACCTGTCCTCAGAACTGGGGGCACCTGCTCACCTGTGCTCCTGTTCTCATACCTGGGGGCACCTGCCCACTTGTGCTCCTGTCCTCATACCTAGGGGCATCTGCTCATCTGTCCTCATACCTGGGGGCACCTGCTTACCTGTCCTCACCTGCTCACCTGTCCTCACACCTGGGACACCTGCTCACCTGTCCTCATACCTGGGGGCACTACTCACCTCTCAGGGGGTGGGGGCACACGTTCACCTCTCCTCACCTGGACGTCTCCGAAGCCACTCACAGTCCTGCACTTTCATCTTCCATGTCAGCTCCTGCAGCGAGAGCTTGGCATACTTGCCCAGCGAGATGAAGGTCTTCACGTTCCTGAAGAAGCGGCTCTTATTGCGGCTGGAGCCCCAGAGGCCGATGGGAACCAGCTGGAGGAGACACGACCGCACGAACACGTACACCTGTGAGGGGGTGCTGTGCTGCTGGAGCAGCTGCATCACTGGCTGCAGGTCGGTGTCCTCCTGGAAGGCGCACGTCACCGCTGGGCCACAGGCCTCCTCGGAGGTCCTAACACCCACCCTGCTGGGTCCACGGGGCGTGGCCGTGGCCAAGTCCCACCTCGGGCAGTGCTTCCTGAGGAGGGTGTCATAGGCGCACCGCGCGTGGTTCCCAAGCAGCTCCTGGAACAGCGGCCGCATGCGCCAATAACGTGGCGGCAGGCGCCTCGGCGGGGTCCTCATCCGGACAGGAGGGGCGCCCAGGAAGATGGTCTCCAGGAGCCTGCAGGCCCCGGTCTGACTGCCCTGCAGGGAGCTGAGGAAGAAGTCACTGGGCAGCTGCTCCTTGTCCCCACGGCTGTAGAGGATTTGCTTGGTCCCCACGTACAACTGCAGACGTGGTAATGGTGGCTGCTTGGATGATGGGCCAGCTGCACGCACCCTGGTCCCCACCGTGGAGGAACCACGAGCTCCAGAAGGTCCACCCTCTGAAGATGTGGTTCCCATGGAGGCCCCCCGGCCCGGCGTCGCCGCGGGGGGATCGCTGTCGCTCTGCTCACGTGCCCGACGCAGGTGGGCCCTGGAAGCAGCATTTTCTCCGGGAGGCTGCGGTACCAACCCTGGCTCCAGGGCCGAGCTGCGCCTAGGCCTTTTGGCCAATGGCTGCGGCTGTCCTCCCACTCGGTCCCGAGGCCGCTTCGCGTCCCCTGGGGTCCCACGCGGGGTCCCGCAGCCCAGGCCCGGCTCGCTGGCGTCCCGCGCGCAGAGCTCGTAGAGCGGCTGTCCGCACACCTGGTAGGCGCAGCTGGGGGCCACCAGCACGTAGAGCGCGCAGCGCGCCAGCAGGTAGGTCAGCACGTCGTCGCCCAGGCGCTGCAGCAGCAGACTCCAGGCGCCACTGCCACGCAGCATGCCCGTGACCGAGTTGGGCGTGTAGCTGCGCACGCACGTGGTGAATGTCATGGGCGGCTCGCCGCTGGCCTCGTCCAGCAGCGCGAAGCCAAAGGCTAGCACGTTCTTGGTGCCGCGCTCGCAGAGACGCTGCAGGACCCTGGCCACCAGCTCCTTGAGGCTAGACAACTGGGGAAGAGAGAGGGGACACCAGAGTCGCGAAGAGCTGCAGGAGTGCCGGGGTCCCCCTGCGCCACCACCCAAGGGAAGCCCGCCCTGCCTGTCCCCAGGCGGCCCACCTGGAGGAAGGAGAGGGGCGAGGGCGGCGGCGGCGCGCCCCAGGGCACGCACACCAGACACTGGGCCACCAGCTCGCGGAAGGCCACGGGGTCCCCGAGCCGCACCAGGCGCCCGCCCTCGGCTCCCAGGCGCCGCGCGAACGTCGCCAGCGGCAGCACCTCGCGGTAGCAGCCACGCAGCAGCGCGCGCACGGCCCGGCATCGGGGTGCGGGCAGCATCTGGGGCCAGGGGCTTGGGGTCGCTCCAAGTGCTCGACGATCCCGCTCCCGCTGCTATGCGGAGGAAGGGGCGGGCCGGGCGAGGGGCGGGGGTCCGGCAGGAGAAACAGGCTGTTTCTAGGCGGGCCTCGGAGATGGGGCGGGGCCGAAAGGAGAGGCGGGGCGGCGGAGCGAGGGTCCTAGAAGAGAAACAGAGGCAGTTTCCCGCGCGCGCCTCGGAACTGGGGCGGGGCCGAGGTGAGGGGCAGTTCCAGGAGGAGAAACAGGAGCTTTCTCGCGCGCACGCACGTGTGCCCCGGAAAAGGGGCGGGGCCCAGGCGCAGGGGCGGAGTCTGAAAGGAGAAAGCGCAATCACGCCGCGGGGTTGGAGTGGACAGTGGGGAGGAGGGCGGGGTCCAGAATGGGAAGGTGGAGTCAAGGGTGAAAGGGAAGACTCCAGGGGAGGGACAAGAGGGCGCTTGCTTAGGGCCATTGTCATTTCAGTCACTTGCTGTGCATCTGAAGGCTGGACAATGAGTAAGGAGGATAGAAAAAGAATTGGTGCCTTTGAGCTGTGGTGTTGGGGAAGAGTACTGAATATTCCATGAATTACCAAAAGGTCTTGGAGAAGGTGCATCTACAGTGCTCCTTGGAGACAAGAGTGGTGAGGCTTTGTCTCTCATACTTTAGGCATGTTATTTGGAGAGGCAATTTCTTGGACAAGGACATCATGCTTGGAAAAGTGAGTGTCCAGTAAAGGAGAGGAAGACCCCAACAAGATTGACACAGTGACTGCAGCAATGGGCTTGATTGTGTCTGGAAGTGTGAGGATGGTAGCGGGTAGAACAGAGTTCAGATCAGGTGCTCAAAGGGTCGCTATGATTAGTACTTGACTCGATGGCACCTAATAGCAACAACAACTGGGCTTGGAGTGTAGGGAGGAGGGTCAGGCAGGGTGGTCCAGGAGGCGGTGGCAGAGCTCCGGAAGAGGTGGGTAAACTCTGGACTGGCCAGGCTGGAGTCTGAGGAAGCGGGTCTTTAAGGCCTCTGTTCCTGCTGGTTGCTCCATCACTACTACGGAGTGTGCAAACAGGAGGGTTTAGAGAGGTGCCTTGAACCCTGTACTTCGCTAGGCTGTCCAGGCTACAGTGTCTATTGGAAAGTGGGCAGTAAGCGACTTCAAGGCCACACTGCCTGGTTCAGACACAGCATTTGGGGGAAGGTCTTGGTCAGTAAGGTTACCTAAAGGTGAGAAAGGCACAGGCAGGGGTCCTTGGGGGACTGTGGTGCTCTGTGCCTGCTGGGGAAGAGGCCCTTCTGGCTTTTTCTGATTGCATTTTCTGATGAGTTCATGTGAGAGCAATGGTATCACTTTAGAGACTAAGGTGTGCCTGATGCAAGCCAACATATTTTCTGTTGTTTCCTATCCATCTGAAAGTTGGACAGTAAATTAGGAAGGCCTTCAACAAGATGGATTGACACAGGGATTGTAACCATGGGCTCAAACATATCACAGATGGTGATGATGGTGCTCAAAAGGGAAAGTGTCAGAGCTGTTGTTCAAAGGGTCGCTATGAGTCATAGTCCCCTGGACAGCAACCAACAACAGTATAACATGCATGAGCAGGGCACACGGAGAAGAAGCTCGTCATGGTTCCCCAGCACCTGGGGTGGAAAGACCTAGAAAGCATAGCAGGTGGCATCTGGGAGCCTGTGGGTGCTTCCACAATGTTCTCTCCCCTACAGGAGGGAGTGCAAATCCTGATCTTAACAGGATTCAGTACTTGCCCAGAAGACTGTCTCCTTGAATCCTAGTCTACCCTGCCTCCTGCCTTGACCACTGCCATGTGTCCCCAAAATACAAGTGTGCAGTGAAATCATGTAGAAGCTCTGTAGTGATCCCCCATAAACCAAACAGTCATAGGAGGATTAATGGTGGAATCATTACAATCACAATGATGCCATTACAACCCTAATCTCAGGTGAAGGGGGGGAGGGGTTTCTTCTTGGATGTGGCCTAGAACATCTAGTGGGATAAAGGGATGAAAGGGTGGGAGTCAGAGCTGGAAGAGACCTTGAGAACCACCAAGAAATAATCGCCAGGAGTGGGATGCGTCTCTGGACCCTGTTCCTCCGGCTCATGAAGCTTCCTACCACTGGTGGTTGTTAGATCCCATAGATGTTAGGTTGTTTGTTGTTAGGTGCTGTTAGCTGGGTGTTAAGACATAGGTGTCCTTAAGTGTTTCAACGTGGTGTTAGGTTACTTGTTGTTGGGTGCCCTGAGCTGTTAGGTGTTACGTGGTCTAGGTGCCATCGAGTGGACAGCTCTAATGAACAACACATCTTGACACTGGAGAAGGCCAGAAAATGTGGTCATCTCCAGGCCCGGGAAAGCCCACAGATGCTGAAAGAAACCGTACTGTCCCTCCCAAAGAGGGCCTTCCCTTCGGGCCAGCACCCGAAGCTGCACACCTACCCTCCTGAGCTGGGAAAGAGTGCATTTCTACTTGTGCTATCTCTGTTACAGCAGCATTAGAGAACTCGGGTCGTGGTATTTTCTAGTTTCAGGTTCTAGGTTTCTTTCTGAGCTGGAGAAAGGTCCCCAGAAATTTCACACTTAAAGCTCAGTCACAGAGGGCCTGCTATTTTAGTGACCTCCTCCCCAACCTGACTCCAGTTGTGCGGTGGTAGGGTTTGGGGATTTTTATAATTTTGTTCTAATTTTTATTTGAGTGAAGGTTTGCAAAGCAAATTCTCTCCATCCATCCATTCATACACATTTTGTTTATAACATTAAGTACAATACTAATACTATACCTGATTCTCCCCACTTTCTTCCTCTGTGTGACTCTTGTTTCTCTTAACCCTTCTATCCTTTCCCTTTCTGCTTTCAGGGATTTATCATCGGGCAAACACTGCTCTTCTCCTCTTAAAATAAAAATAAGCACAAATATAGTGTGTTTGTGTTGGAACCAACTCATAGCTGATGTTCCAGTGGGTTTTGGGGAGTTATAATTAACCGAAACAGAGATTGCCCACATTTCTCTGTGAAGTTCCTGGTGGATTTGAACTGCCAAAGTTGGCAGTCCAGGTCCCCCATCACAACCAGAGCTCCCTTTCTAACCTTATCTGGCTATGTAAGGAGTGAGTGTCTCTCTGGTGATCACGTTATAGGCCTGTCTATTATTTGGGTGAAAATTTAGCCAGGGGCTTCAGTCTTGTTCCAGTCTGAAAGGTGACTGAAGGCCATTTTGACAAGTGACCCTACCGAATATGCAAATTATCAAACAATAACATTAATATCACGTGCAAGTAAAACATACCCAAAGATCATTACAAAACAGTTGCCACAGTACATTGACGGGGAAATTAAAGAAGTTCAAGTTGGATTTAGAAGAGGCCATCGCACCAAGGGTATCAGTGCTGATGTCAGATGGATCCTTGCCGAAAGCAGAGTATTTCAGAAAAATGTCTATTTGGAAGGGAGCTCTGGTGGCGTAGGGGTAAGAAGCTGCACTGCAATCCCAGAGGTACATGGTTCAAATCCACCAGATGCTTTGCTGGAGAAGGAGGGACAATCTCCTCCTGTACCAGTCAGATCCTATTTGATGGTACACACACAAAAAATAATAAAAGAAAAAAGAATGTCTATTTGTACTTTTTGACTATGCAAAGGCGTTTGACTGTGTGGATCATAACAAATTATAGCTAATATTGAGAAGAATGGGAATATCAGAATACCTTACTTACTTATGTGGAACCTTTACCTAGACCAAGAGGCTGTTGTGCAAACAGAATAAAGGAATACTAGAAGGATGAGGATGTGCATTGGAGGGGGTTGTTAATCATGGGGTTGTACAATTTGATGGGTGGGGGGTGAAGGAATTTGAAAGAATTTGTTCTTTAAAACAACGTATTTGAATTTAGTAAATTAATAAGTAGAAAATGAAAAAAGAAAAGTGGGTGTCAGGGTTGTATCTTCTCTCCATACCTATTCAATCTATATGCTGAGCAAATTATTTAAGCAGCTGGACTCTGTGAAGAGGAATGTGGCATCAGGATTGGCGGAAGACTCATCAATAACCTGTATTATGCAGATGGCTTAACCTTGCTTGTTGAAAGTGAAGAGGACTTGAAGCACTTGCTGTAGAAGGTTAAGGAATGTAGCCTTCAGTATGAATTTCGCGTCAACATCAAGAACACAAAAATTCTCACCTTTGTCCCTGGCTCCGCCTGAAGGCGGGACTTCCTCTGGTTCCCAGAATGGGGAGGAGCATTACAAGCCCCTAGGCAGAGGTAGAGAAAGGCGGTGGACTCATTCGGGCCTGGGAGTACTTCCAGGGTGTCTCATCCTAGCAGACGTGCTGCGCACTCCTGGATGCAGAGTGGAAGGGGGACAGACAGGTTCCCTGTGCTGAATGCCTGCGCTTAGCAAACATCCAGCTTAAATGAAAATGGTACTCTTTAGAAGACCTGAAACAAGAAGCAAGTCTAAATAAATCTCACGTGGCTGAGCTAGAAATTCCAAATTGACTGGACAGGCACCAAAAGAAGTAATATTGTAACAATATTTGAGAGTGATAGTGAAGACCTTGGCAGTACTGATAAAGAGTTTGTACAGACAATAGTGAAAGTGATGGTAATAGTCAAGTTGATAATAACAAGAGACTTGACAGCAATAAAAAGCCAGAAAATGAAGGTGAACTTGAATGAATTAAAGTTAAAAGTGAGGCAGACAAGCATCTTGTTAACACCAGCAGCACTGTAACATATGAAGAGGAAAAGAATGAGAGCAAACTGGAGAGTATTGATTTACCAGATGATGAAAGGTGCCTACGTCAGGAGAATGAGGTCAGCAAAAACACTGGACAGATAATAGGGGAGGACATGTTGTTGTTGTTGTTGTTGTTATGTGGCGTCGAGTTGCCTGCGACTCATAGCGACCCTATGTACAACAGCCCTAAACTCCGCTCTCTCCTGTGCCAATTGCACTGTCTCTGACACTCCCATCCCAATTATCC